CCAGTTTGGTCCCAACAAGTGGGGTCTGGGGAGGGTGGTCTGTACGCAGACCTTACCCCTACCTAATGCAGGTAGAGAGGCTGTTTCCAATAGACATTCGGCTCAGGAAGGGCAAGAAGAAGAAGAAAAGGAAAGCAAGGGAGGAAGAAAGATGGAAGATAAATGGAAAAAAAAAAGATACAGGATAAGTGGTACCAAATATTAGCAACAGGGAATACAATACATGAGGCGAACAAAACCACATAACATAATAAAAGTCTAAGAATATGAAGGGACATGCATACTATTAAGACTATCGGTGAGCAACTATAAACAACCTACTAACCTTCTACCTTAATCCTCGACCTCCACACTCTCCTATCAAGGGTCATGTCCTCAGTGAGCTGAAGCAGCGTCATGTCCTGCCTAATCACCTCTCCCCAATACTTCTTAGGCCTACCTCGACCTCTTCTCAAACTCTCAATGGCCAACCTCTCACACCTCCTAACTGGAGCATCAATGTTTCTTCTCTTAACATGGCCGAACCATCTCAGCCTCGACTCCCGCATCTTGTCCTCCACGGAGGCTACTCCCACTCTGTCCTGGATATCTTCATTCCTAATCCTATCTCTCCTGGTACACCCACACATCCATCTCAACATCCTCATCTCTGCTACTCTCATCCTCTGCACGTGGGAGTTCTTGACTGGCCAACACTCAGCCCCATACAACATAGCCGGTCGAACCACCACTCTATAAAACTTACCCTTAAGTCTTAGCGGCACATTTCTATCACACAAAACACCGGAAGCGAGCCTCCACTTCATCCATCCCGCTCCAATGCGATGCGCGACATCTTCGTCAATCCCGTTACCCTGGATAATAGACCCGAGGTACTTAAAACTCGCTCTCTTGGGTATAAGTAACCCGGTAATTTATTGTATTAATCATCCGGTTCTCCTCTCAAGAAATTCACTGCCTTTTCTCTAGCGGGCCACGCCAACACGTAATTGACATCGACACCAAAGTCCAATTTCACATCATCTATTATATCCTCTAGCTTGTATTTTCTCTTATGATTAGTAAACTTGGATCTAATCATGCCCCCAATCAACCTACAAGTTGGTTGACGTTGTGAATACACTTTATCTTTCAATAGACATGTATGCTTATTATGGAACTCTCTCACTTTGAACATTTTGGATTTGTTAATACTTGAAGCCTTAAATTTTCATTCACAATGTTAAGAAACACATATAAGGGTATAGCTGCAAATGCAATTTGAATACACGTACAATCAATTATGAATACACAAAAACATACAACCAGATATGAATACACAAAATATACAATGAACAGAATACATTATGCAGTTCTAATATGTAAAAGCAGTCATATAGTAAATTTATTCTTAAGATAGATAACTATATAAACACCATAACCTAATAGCATTTGAACTCACAACCCGGAATTAAAACCTTGTAGCAATTGCATATTGCTCTATCACAGTCATTAATGTTGCCCTATCCTTGTATACTTGTCCTTCCATCACCTCTTTTTGATTATTATTCGTAATAATGAATCCTTTTCAATTTCAAAAACCTCAATTGGTTCACCTGAGTTTAATGACGTCAGTGCAAATGTATCACTTGTATCAACTATATGCACACCATCAGTGTATTCAAGTTGCACTAGGTCACTTTGAATTAGTCTTCCTCCATCTGCAATTTCCGGTTGTTTTGGTAGAGGGCGATGAAATTGTTAGAGCCGATGTTCCTTTTAGAAGGGCAGAATCGAAGTATAGTGTTGAACAAGTAGGTGTAACTGTTGAGTTCTACGGCGGTGAACTCAATGGTTTTCTCCAGTGTAGTTATACAGAACGGATACATCCCGAATTCACTGTTCTCCCTTTTCAACTCTACATACACCCTGGAACCCATGTCGTTCTGTATTTGCATAGGCGTATAATTTTCTTCTACTTTATATTTAATTGACTTCAAACTCAAGTCTATAGCAAGTTGCTTTGAGATTGCAGCAACTAAATCACTGTACAAAGCATACTCCTTTATTATTATCCCCCTCTATTGAATAATCGACATGACAATTTTCATTGTTCCACTTCCCAGAATATCGAATTAACACTTTTAAGCCTGCCATCAGTGTATTTGCATTCAACACTTAATCAGGAGATAAGGCAATGCCGAGTACCAAAATTATAACTGATCAAACTATAGTGAATTCGTAAATTCAATTACTAATTCTTCTGTTAATACCTGTATCAATGCCGAACGAAAATCAATCTTATCAATATTGGTCGGATCACAACCTCGAACACACTCCATAAACAATTTTTGATGTATCGCTGAAGTTTTATCTGCACATCTCAATGTGTTTTTGCAATCTTCGAATACAATGCTCTGTGATTTTTAAATCTTCCGAAAAAATCTTCTAATTATGGAATAATAAAGAGCCGTGTTTCAATTGATTATGTTGAGATCGTTTAAGCGTGATACACGCTGGTTTATTGCGCTTTCAATTATTAAACAACTGTAATCCCTATTTATTAGGCGAATTAACTCACTATATTTATAAATACAGTATCGCAAATACATGAAATATAGTCGGATAGCAACAAAATTGTAGCTACGGCCAGTAAATATAGATATTGTAGCTATAACACGTTAATAACCACTTAACTAAAGTGGTGTCTGAAAATTCCTCATGTAAAATTATAACAAGAATTTTACGGCCCATTCATGTAAAATTGGAACATAAATGGCCCCAGGTAGCACCTATATTTAAACATATTACAAAAATATTTAATATTTAGCCATTTTGACAAATTCCAAACCGCTGAAATTAGATTCGAAATCTAAAGTCTGAATTTGAGGCGGCTAAACTTTAAATTTTCTTAATTTCTATTATTCTTTAATAGCTGTGCTAAAAATGGTGCACTTGGCCAAAAAGCCCAGTACTTATTTTACCTTAAAAACTTAAATTTAAATTTTTTATTTCAGGACATTTATGTCTCAAAAATTGAATTGAAAAACTAAAATTCAAAATATACCGATTAATTCCTAAAGTCATTTCTACCAATACCGTGCAGTGTGGCCACTGGCCACAGCAGGCGCGAACACGAGCAAAGTCAAGTCATCCATCAAAATAAAGCCCGCTTCCTGGCTTGTGCTACGGAGTTTCGAGAAGCAGCCACGACACCAATTTTGTCTATGCGGATAAAATAGCAGACACGTCCCCTTCATTCTCCCCTCTTTTGCATGTTCACTCCGCCAATAAACAACACACTCACCGAGTAATGAATCGACCAACCTTTTAATTTCCAAATCACAGACATTGTAATACTGCAAAAAAAGAAAAAAGAAGAGAAATCTCAAACAACGATGCGATTCTTATCGCGGAGATTTGGGACTGTTACTGCTAATGGAGATGGAGGGATTTCGATGTTAGGTTTAGGCAAAAGAGGTATTGCAACGAGCTGTAGAGCTGTGTTGTGTCCGCGATTTGGTGGGCCCGAGGTGCTTGAGTTTCATCAAAATGTAGCTGTTCCTGATCTAAAACCCAATCAAGTGCTTGTTCGTGCTCGTGCTGTCTCCATCAATCCCCTTGATACCAGAGTCAGTTCAATTTTTATTTCAAATTTTCATTTCTTACTTTTGATTGCTATCAAATGTCGAGAAATTTAATTGTAATATGGTTTTTGTGTTTGTATTTGAAACTCATGTGTTTTACAGTAGATATGTTCCATCAATTACTCCTGACTTTCTGCTTAGTGTGGATGGTTATATGTATCCTTTCTAATTTAAATAGGTCGAGTTTCCCAGCGTATATGACGATTTCGGAAAATTGAGGCGTCTTAATAAAATGTGCGTGATGGTGAATCGAAGAAAAAGGGATATATAGGGAATTGTTTGAGTTAGGTCAGATTCTGATGCCCGTGAGACATTCTAAGAAATCTATGGTTTGCATTTCTTTGTAAGAGAAGGCACGGAGAACTCCCTTTTGGAAAAATTTCAAAGAAATTGATCTATGTTATTGGCAGTAGCGGATGTAGCTTATTAGCTACGGTGCAACCGAACACAGTATTTTCGACACGGAACATTAATATATATATGTGTGTGTGTGTGTGTGAGAAAGCCTACTAAGTAATCATGTATTTTGAACCCATAATTTTAAATGTACAATAAGTTTTAGCACTAATTATTTTAAAAGCCGAACCCATCAAAGATTAAATCTCGGATCCGCCTATGATTATTGGTCCCTTTAAATTTCTTTGCTTATTCACCACTTGGCAGTTACTGAATGAGTAAACCTATTCTTTAAGTTAATTATGTAATAAAGAGTTCTCTAAGCCTTTATTTATTATAAGATAAAAATATAGGACTTATTAAGTGGAAATCATGGTTCCTGATTAATACAGTGTTACTGTGAAGTGAATGCGATGCTGATGGTATCTAAAAGCAAATGCAAATGCTTTTCTCTTTCACTTTTTACTTTGTTAATACATACATCAATTCAATGTGGACAATATATTAGCTTGACGATACCATTCCGAAGTTTTCTATTCGACTATTGAGAACTGCGAATAGTTATAAATGCTAGCACGTCTATTTCCTCAAAATATTTCAGTCTTATTTGTTCCTGGGTATCTTTGTCAGAGAAGTTCTGATAGATTGAACATTTAGTAGATGCTTTAGTTTGTTTCAGATGCGAGCAGGATATGGACGTTCAATTTTCGAGCCACTTTTGCCATTGATTTTGGGCCGAGATATAAGTGGTGAAGTGGCAGCTGTTGGAAATTCTGTTAAGTCGCTTACCGTTGGGCAGGAGGTATTCGGTGCTCTGCACCCAACCGCTGTGAGGGGTACTTATACTGACTACGCTATTCTTGCAGAAGATGAACTTGCTCCGAAGCCAGAATCACTTTCACATGTGGTACGTTTTCAGTTTGGGTACATTCGGTAACACCAGCTTCTTGAGGATAGTTTTATTTGCTTTTTATCTGTATTTGCAATCAGCTATAAAATCAGCGTCTATCTTGTTTACCTACTCCTTATGCTATCTATCACTTTTCTTGGATGTCCTCTCACCCCTCTTTCTGAAGCTCATTGTTGAATGATTAGTTGTCCTTGTCAATTTTCATTCTTGTTATTTCCATCCCGTCGCACATCTTGGTGTTTTTCTACTTCAGCATGCTTAAGGTCCTATATGATGCTATTCTGCAGGAAGCCAGTGCCATCCCATTTGCTGCCCTAACTGCTTGGCGTGCGCTAAAAAGTACTGCCAGAATAAAAGACGGGTATGTTTATGTTATGATAAGTATTCTCTACTGCAAATGCGCTTTATATATGCATTGTATGAATCTGAATTTGTCAGTTAGACTTGAATAATTACCTCTCTGAGAAAAAAGGAGCAGGAAGTTAATAACTCCAAGAGGGTTTTCCTCTGCAAGTACTACTGAGTCATAATCATTTTGAAATTATAATTGTTGAAGGCTTTCTTCTGCAACTATATTGTTGAGTCATAAGCATTTTCTAAAATTGTTGTGTGTCTAAATTCTGCATTTTTCGTTTGCCTGGTTTTGGTGGCAAAGATTATTTCCAGTTCGAAAGATTTTTACATTTTGAAGTAAATTATGATCATGAAGATTTTAAGCATGACACATGAGTGACAAAAATTTTTAGAGACTGAAATGTCATGACCCTGCTTAACGATTTTCTTTGTCAATTTATCTGTTATTTTTCTCAGTTTTGAGAAAACATTCAAGTGATCCAATGTAGGAAGTTATGTACTGGGGTGTCTAGAGACCAGCATTATATCCTTTTGAGTGTATAATGATTTGTTTCATAGTAGATAAAGTTTGTAACTTGGAAGTGCGTAGACAATAAGTTTCAAGATGCATTTATGCCGGCATAATGGACAAACATGGAGTTGCTCTGATGCTGCTGAATAAGATTATTTTGCCTAGAGATTAAAGTTGGTCAAAAGATGGCTTTACCTTTTTATTTGAGAAACAGGATGTTAATTAACAAAGAGTAAAAAAAAATAAGAATACTTACTATTTACTAGTATTACTTACCAAAAAAATAAAGGCTTACCTATTTATTGCTCACAAGTCACGGCCATCTAAATTCGTTAATCTTGTTTGAGAGGTCAATGCACATTTAGACCAGTATTCCAACTCTGTCCTTTCTATTTCATGTTAAACTCTTGATAGTGAATGCATCTTGATGGATAGGGAACAGTATGATGCCTCGAAATGATATATGTGTGCTGTTTATACTGATATCATTATTTTCTCAAACAAATTTCTTCAGGCATAGGGTATTGGTCATAGGTGGAGGAGGAGCAGTAGGTTTCTCTGCAATTCAGCTTGCAGTTGCTGCAGGCTGCCATGTCTCTTCAACATGCGGAGAAAGTATAAGTATAAGTCGTATTTTGGCAGTCGGTGCGGAGCAGGCTGTTGACTATACCACTGAGGTGACGATGTAGTAGTAGTTCACATGTTTTATCATGTTATTTTATTTGAACATTTGAACAGGATATACTTGATTGGTTTTTCAGTGGCGTTATTGGCATATCCACCCCACCCTCTCCCTGTCCTTGTTCCAGGATTGACATGTTTGCTTGTTTACAGGATTGTGAAATAGCACTTAAGGGGCATTTTGATGCTGTCTTGGATACAATTGGTGTGCCAGAGACGGAGAGAATAGGTATAAATCTTTTAAAGAGAGGAGGACACTACATGACGTTACAGGTTAGGAGTCATCTTACTCTTATAGCCACGGCAGAATCTTCTGCCTGATTTTCTTATAAATGATGAAAAAATCTGTTATATGCTCTTAAGAAAGATTTCCTGTTCTTTGCTCATAGGGGGAAGCTGCTTCATTCACTGATAGGTACGGACTGGCTATTGGTCTTCCTCTAGCAACAGCCATCTTGCTGAAGAAGCAAATCCAATACCGATATTCTCATGGAATAGGTACAGGAGATCTTCAGAATGTTTTTATGATCTGTTTGGAAGAAATACTTTTTTACTGATATTTGTGAAAAGAACAACTCTTTATCCAAAAACAAAAAGGGTAAGAAGAAACAGATTTGAAATTTTAGCTCACCCCTAACAACATGAGATATATTCTCCCTGTATGCCGGTGAATATTCAAAATGAAGTGAGAAGCATAACAATAACAACAACAACAAACCCAGTATAATACCTATTCCACAAATGTGGTCTGGAAGGGTAGTGTGTATGCAGCTTTACCCCTACCTTGTGAAGGTAGAGAGGTTGTTTTTGATAGACCCTCGGCTCAGGGGAAGCTCAAATTGCTTGTTGAAAAGAAAACAATAGTGTATAAACCATGGAAAGGAAACAATAACACGAAGGATAACAAGAAAACTGAAGCAAAAGAAACAACCTATAATAGTACAGGTCTAGGTATTTCAAAATATGAGAATACTATAGATCCTAATGGTAAGAGAAGGATGCGCTCGTGGCTACTTACTAGCCTTCTGTCCTAATTTTCGATTTTCACACCTTCCTATCAAGGGACATGTCCTCGGTAAGCTGAAGATGTACCATATATTGCCTTATCACCTCTCCCCAATACTTTTTAGGCCTACCTCTACCCCTCTTTAGACCCGCCATGGCCAACCTCTCACACCTTCTCACTGGGGACATCTGGGCATCTCCTCTTTACCTTTAAGTTTAGGCGGCACGTTTTTATCCCACAGAACACCAGAAGCGCGAATCTATTTCATCCATCCCGCCCCAATACAATGAGTGACATCCTCGTCAATCTCTTCATTACCTTGGATTATAGACCCAAGATACTTGAAACTTTTTCTCTTCGAAATGACTTATGTATCAAGCCGCACTTCCACGTCCGCTTCGTGAGTTACATCATTGAACTTACACTCCAAGTACTCTGTCTTAGTCTTGCTCAGCTTGAAACCCTTGGACCCCAGGGTCTGTCTTCAGACTTCAAACCTAGTATTAACACCACCCCTCGTCTCGTCAATCAGTACTATGTATTCTGCAAATAAAATGCACCAAGGCACTCCCCCTGGATGCACGTCAATTCGTCTATCGCCCGGGCAAAGGTGAAAAGCATAACAAGAAATTTTAAAACTGTAGGTTCTGTACTAGGTGATTACTTCACTATGAGCTGCAACTCCTACAATGAGATTGATATTTGGACTTGATTCAAGACTTGTGTTACATTATCTCATAGACGGGCTGTTTTTTGTACTAGAGCATTGGTTGAAGAGATTGACAGAGGTTTTGATCTGAATAATACTCCCTCCGTTTCATATTAAATGAGTTAGTTTGACTCGGTACGGAGTTTAAGAAAAAGGAAGAAGACTTTTGAAACTTGTGGTCTTAAAATCTTTAGGGGTAAAAAGTTTGTGGGGCCATGACATTTGTGTGGCTATAAAAGCTTCTCATTAAGGGTAAATGGGTAAAATGAAAGAGTTTAAAGTTGAATAATTTTCAAATTTAGAAATGTGTCATTTGTTTTGGAACAGACTAAAAAGGAAAGTATCTCATTTAATATGAAACGGAGGGAGTAGTTGATAGAGCTACCAGAGAACCGTTTGAATTGAACCTGGGTTGTGATGTTGACACATTTCTAAGGCAAGAACTGAATTGTTCGAAATAAATGTTTATAAGCCAAAATATTGAGTACGGGGAAGGAGGCATTCTTTGTCCATTTATTGATTTGAGATGCCTTTTTCATTTGAATAGTATAAATATCAGCATATCTTCATGCTTTTGACAAGTTCTAGAAGAACTTTTTAAGCGAGAAAAAAACACACTAATCGCTAACCTTCATTGAAGTAGATATCATGGGAAGAAACCTTCATCCGTTTAACGATATCGAATACTTTATTAAAGTGGATAGTATAGTCATTATGATATGGCTATGACCTTAACCTTATCCTTGGGATAGTATGTATATCAGCATATTTTCCTGTGTATTAAGTGAGAATAACGTAACAAGCGCTCACCTTTATTCCTCGTTATTTGTGCGCTCTCTCTCTCTCATACATGTGAGAAGGCACGGGAGAAAAATCTTATTAATTAATTATAGTGTTGTACAACCCTATTTATATACAGTGATTACATAATAATAGGTATCTACTTCCCGATGAGGGACACTACTACTTAACACTCCAGATGTAACTAATACGAGAACCAGTAAGAGACTTGGTGAAAATATCTGCTAGCTGATCATTCGACTTTACAAACTTTGTAACAATATCTCCTTTCGAGTATCTTTTCTCTGACAAAGTGACAGTCGATCTCAATGTGTTTAGTCTTTTCATGGAACACCGGATTTGACGCAATATGAAGAGCAACTTGATTATCACACACCAGTTCCATCTTGCTGATTTCTCCGAACTTCAACTCCTTGAGCAACTGCTTTACCCCAAACTAGCTCACATGTTGGCATAGTCATGGCCCGATATTCGGCGCTAGATCGAGCAACTACATTCTGTTTCTTGCTCTTCCAAGAGACCAAATTAACCTCCTACTAAAACACAATATCCAGACGTAGAACGTCTATCAGAAGGTGATCCTGCCCAATCAGCATCTATGTACCCAACAATCTGCTCGTGGCCTTGATCCTCAAATAGTAACCCTTTGCCTGGAGCTGACTTTATATACCGAAGAATGCGAACAACTGCATCTCAGTGACTATCACAGTGAGAATCCATAAACTGACTTAGAACACTCACCGGAAAAGAAATGTCTGGTCTAGTCACTGTGAGGTAATTCAATTTGCCAACGAACCTCCTATATCTCGTAGGATCTCTAAGAGGCTCCCCCTGTCCGGGCAGAAGCTTAGCATTCGGTTCCATAGGAGTGTCAACAGGTCTGCAGCCCATCATTCCAATCTCCTCAAGAATGTCTAAGGCATACTTCCGCTGTGAAATAACATTACCCGAGCTAGACTGAGCGACCTCAATACCTAGAAAATACTTCAATCTGCCCAGATCCTTAGTCCGGAAGTGCTGAAAGAGATGTTGCTTCAGATTAGTAATACCATCCTGATCATTGCCCGTAATAACAATATCATCAACATAAACCACCAGATAAATACACAGACTAGGAGCAGAATGCCGATAAAACACAGAGTGATCAGCTTCACTACGAGTCATGCCGAACTCCTGGATAACTATGCTAAACTTACCAAACCAAGCTCGAGGGGACTGTTTCAAACCATATAGTGACCTGCGCAATCGGCATACAAGACCACTAAACTCCCCCGAGCAACAAACCCAGGTGGTTGCATTCTTAATGTCTAACGGATAAAGAGGCCAATGACGTACAACGGCCATGGACAAAAAGAGACGAACATATGCTACTTTAGCCACAGGAGAGAAAGTGTCACTATAATCAAGCCCAAAAATCTGAGTGTATCCTTTTGCAACAAGACGAGCCTTAAGCCGATCAACCTTGCCATTGGGGCCGACTTAGGCCGCATAAACCCAATGACAACCAACAGTAGACTTACCTGAAGGAAGAGGAACAAGCTCCCAAGTGCCACTCGCATGTAAAGCATGCATCTCCTCAATCATAGCCTGTCGCCATCCTGGATGAGATAGTGCCTCACCTGTAGACTTAGGGATAGAAACAGTGGATAAAGATGATATAAAAGCATAATGAGGTGATGACACACGATGATAACCTAAGCCGACATAATGGGGATTAGGATTAAGTGTGGATCGTACACTTTTGCGGAGTGCAATTGGTTGACGAAGAGGAGACAAGTCCGAAGTAGGAACAGAATCTGATGCATGATGTGAATCACCTGGGCCTGATGCTGGATGTGGACGACGATGATAAGTCAAGAGTGGTAGAGCTGCAGAAGGTTAAACTGGACTAGGTGATGGAGCTGGAGCTGTAGGTGGTGGAGCTGGAGTTGTAGAGGAAGATGAATGGGAGATAGTGACTGAATCTCCAAAAGACGAAACTGGTTAGTACCTCAGAAATATCTAAGTGATTACTTGGACCTGTGAAGTATGATTGAGTTTCAAACATATGATTAATAAGATAGCAAGATGTAAGAACTGCACCCCCTCCCCC